AGACAAGTCCCCTGGCAGGGAGAGGAGAAATATTCTGGGCAGGCCCGTTGCCAGGATTTTGTGGCTTTTGTGGCATTTTTTTTCTGGTGGGGCTGAAGTTCTCAGTGCAGAAAGGAAAGCCATGTAGCCAATAAAAAGCTGTGACCAGGATAGATCTCTAGACTGCAAGCTGTCTGCCACTTTAGATGACAGTTCTCAGCTGCAGCAAGTTAATCGCAGCCTGAGCAACAATTCTGAGAACAAGTCGGCAGGTGGGGGTGGTGACTTTTAGAGTCAAGAAAGCTGACACTCAGTCGGAAAAACTCTCTTAAAGGAGACCAGCTTCTTGACACAGAGTTAGAAGGGATCCTAGAGGTCACCTACTCCAACCCCCTTGCTCAGTGCGGGAATTAGTCAACGACAGCACCCAGCTCTGCTTAAAGGAGCGCATGCCTTTAATTTAAAAAAAATGATTGAAAAAAGCATTTACAGGAGAAATTCTTGTGGGGCTGTGCTTTTAAGAAAGGGGGTGGAGCTATGGGCCTGATTCTGGGGTGCTCAGTCCTCACATCCTTATTGTTACGCCATGGGGGAAACCAGCCACGGACTGCAAAGCAATATACTTGGCAAAAGCCCAGGAGTACCCTATCCCGAGGACTGCAATTTCAAGAATGTGAAGCTGCTTTGTTAAATGGTTATTTGATGGCACTCAAACAGTCCCATCCTTAAAACATCAACAACAACGTTGAGATCAAAATAGCAAGCTGAAGTTCTCAGTGCAGAAAGGAAAGCCATTTAGCCAATAATAAGCTGTGACCAGGATAGATCTCTAGACTGCAAGCTGTCCGCCACTTTAGATGACAGTGCTCAGCTGCAGCAAGTTAATCACTTCTCCCAGCCTAAGCCACAACCCTGAGAACAAGCCGGGAGGTGGAGGTGATGACTTCTAGAGTCGAGAAAGTGAACACAGGTGGAAAAACTCTCTTAAAGGAGACCAGCTTCTTGACACAGCGTTAGAAGGGATCCTAGAGGCAGCAGCACATTTTGATGCTACCAGTTATCTCACTGGAATGTTTTGATGCCACTGGACATCTCAACAGCATATTTTGAAGAAGAAGAAGAGATTGGATTTATACCCTGCCCTTCACTCCCCAAGGGAGTCTCAGAGCATCTTACAAACTCCTTTCCCTTCCCTTTCCCACAACAGACACCCTGTGGTAGGTGGGGTTGAGAGAGCTCTGACAGAAACGGCTCTTTTTCAAGGACAGCTGTGCCAGAACTATGGCTTGCCCAAGGTCATCCAGCAGGTGCAAGTGGAGGAGTAGGGAATCAAACCCGGTTCTTCCAGATTAGAGTCCACGTACTTAACCACTACACCAAACTGATGCTACTAGATGTCTCAATAGCACATCTTGATGCTACCAGCATGTTTTCTACTGGACATCTCAATGGCCCATTTTGATGCCACCGGATTTCTCAATGGAACGTTTGGATGCTACGGGATGTCTCAGAATCAAGACGTCTCTTGAGACAACAGCTCTGAGAGAACTGTGGCTTGCCCAAGGTCATCCAGCAGGTGCAAGTGGAGGAGTAGGGAATCAAACCCGGTTCTCCCAGATTAGAGCCTGCGCTCCTAACCACTATACCAAACCGGTGTAACATCAAATGCCTCCCAATTTATTTAGCAATGTTTGTTGTTGTTCAGTCGCACAGTCGAGTCCGACTCTTCGTGACCTCATGGACGATATTAACACCAGGCCCTCTTGTCTTCTGCCATCATTATTTAGCAATAAAAATATGTATACGTCTTTCTCACTGATCACGGTGGGTCGCAGGCAACAGACAAGTGATTTAAAAAGACAAGAAAAACACAGCCGTATAAATTTCCTTCCAAATAATGCGCATCTTACAACGTAACCTGCAAGGCGGACAGCCTGGCGCCCTCTCCCCCTCCGTGGCGAGGGGTTGCGTGGAAGGCTGCAGCTGCCACGTAAAAAACACGGGCAACACACTGCGGCTGAACGGACGGCTCAAAAGGAGGGCCCGCTCAGGGGGTTGGCTCCGCACGGGTCCGAGGTAGGCTTACCAAGTATCTACCTCGAATCGGTGGGGGACACATACTTCTTGTCAGGAACATTCCCATGCGGAAAACAAACACGCCGCACCATGCCACTGCCCAGACGTGACACCAGCACGCTGGGCATGTAGGTGAGCGACGCTCTGGTAATGGAGCTGGTACCATCGAGTTTCCAGCTCCATTGCCAGAGTGTCGCCCAGCTACGTGCCCAGAGTGCTGGCGTCACGTCTGGGTGACGGCATGGTGCGGCGGGGGGGTGTTACACCGAGGGGTGTTCCGGCCGGGAACCATGTGTCCCCCACCAATTCGAAGGTAGGTACTTGGTAACCCTAGTCTGTATACTCAAAACCCATGAACTTTAAAACATTTTTAAAAGAATGTTGTCGAAGAGGTTCCAAGATCTCCGTTCTGCCCTGTCCCCCCCCCCCGGTGCCCCTTGTGGGGCTTTCAAAGCAGGCGATGGCATGGTGCAGCGGGGAGGGGTTCCACCGGGGGGGTGTTCTGGCCGGGAACCATGTGTCCCCCACCAATTCGAAGGTAGGTACTTGGTAACCGTCAGGACTTTTTTTGTAGAAAAAGCCCAGCAGGAACTCATTAGCATAATAAGCCACACCCAACAACAGAAACTCATTAGCATATTAGGCCACACCCCTGACAGCACAGCTCATTGGCATATTAGGCCACACACACC